CTGTGTCACCTGCTAAAAGATACACAGCCAGGTTTGGGGTTGGTTTTTTTTTTTTTCCCCAAAGCAGCCTGCTGATTCAACTAAGCAGCAAACACTGCAGCTATTTGGCAGTTTCAAGCCCCAGTCACGTTTTCAAGCTGAATACTGAAACATTTCAGCAGGCTCCACGTGAGCCTGACAACTGGCTAACCTGCAACACAACCGTGGATGTTCAAGGCGCTGTGACATGGCTATGCCTGTTTAAGTCGAATCCTGGCTTTCAGCTTTAGTGGAAACATGTCACAGAACCCAGCTGTGCCTCCACATTTCTCTTCCCTGTTAATGATAACCCCTGCAAAAATATGAAACATCTCGCCTGAGGCAGCACCATCTACCTTTACACTTGTCAGCTGACATTGTGGAATCTCACACAGAATAGCTCAGTACCGCTCTTCTCGCATGAAAAACATCTACAGCTTGGCAGGAGGCCTCCAGCTCAAGACAAACCTGCCCACCTTAAGTGGTTGTGTCAATTTAGGGGAAGAGTGTGAGAAAATCACGGCCATTTTCCCGAAAAAGGCTGTAGCTATGGCTTGCAAGAGCAAGGTCAAAGCACTTTGAAACACTCTGCTCTGCCTGAAGCTGTTCTCAGCGAGGAAGAGGATGGAAAAATGGCATTTTGTTATTTCAACAGACAAACCTGCAGCCTTGAGTGGTTGTGTCAATGTAGGGGAAAGAGTTTGAGAAAAATCGCAGCCATTTTCCCCAAAAAGGCCGTAGAGATGGCTTGCAAGAGCAAGGTGAGAGCACTTTGAAACACTCTGCTCTGCCTGAAGCTGTTCTCAGCAAGGAAGAGCATGGAAACATGACATTTTGTTATTTCAGCAGACCTTTTGAGAAGTGTAAAATATAATGGTGGTGTTTCTAAAGCTTCACGTAGCGACCAGGGAATCGCGCAGAGTGAGGCAGAGCTCTGCAATGCACAAACTCCTTCCCTTCTGACGCCTCCTTTGCCAGTTCACATTAATCCTGCACGTGAGACGACATTAAGGTTGTAAATAGAGATAATGAAGCCCAGAGAGGCGCCTGCCCATCGGCGTGCAGCAACACAGGTAGCACAGGAGCTGCAGCACAAATATCTGGGTGGCTCCATGGGGAGTCGTCTCACCCCTAGGATTTCTCAGCTACAAGCTGGTAATGAGGTCTCTGCAGAAATGGCAAGATTAGTTACCAACCTGGATGCACCTACAGGTTAAAAACACCCACAAAACTCATGTGAACAGTTCAATGGATGAACAGATTCAGCAAATTACACAGGCTAAGCTAATCCTACACCTGGAGTCACTTGTTCCCTCTGTGCTGTATTTTATCACGCCTGTTTAAAAGGGAGATTTACAGCATGGTGGGGGGCTCTCAGTGCTCCCAGACATGGCACAGCACAGGGCCACGAAGATAACCGGGGGGCTGAAGCACCTCCCCTGTGAGGACAGACTGAGTTGGAGGGGTTCAGCTGGAGAAGAGAAGGCTCTGGGGAGACCTCAGAGCAGCATTTCAACAGCTGCATAACAAAGAGAGATTTTTTAGCAGGGCCTGTAGTGACAGCACAGGGGTAACAGTTTTAAACTAAACAGCGAAGATTTAGATCAGATCCAAGGCAGAAATTCTTCCCTGTGAGGGTGATGGGGCCCTGACACAGGGTGCCCAGAGAAGCTGTGGCTGCCCCCTCCCTGGAAGGGTTCAAGGCCAGGTTGGATGGGGCTTTGGGCAACCTGGGCTGGTGGAAGGTGGCCCTGCCCGGGGCAGGAGCATTGGACTAAATGATCTTTAAGGTCCCTTGAACCCAGTCTGTGATTTAAATCAACACCCTGTGGAATTCAGCCATTACTTGTTCATCCTGGGCAATTAAGAAAGGGCTGCCTGCCCCAAGCTCAAGCAAACAAGATATTAAGTCTTCACAAACCAGGGCAGCCATCCTTTGGGAACGTGGAACCTGCGTAAAACACAGTGCGAGAGGCACAGTGCTGAATAAAGTGCCCAATTCTGGGAGGTGGTCAAGTCCTTTTGCCTGAGACTGTGGGCTTTCCCCTGAGGTGAGGATTTTTGAAGCTTTTGAAGATGTGGTCACCAACCTAAGCTACACACTACCCACACTGTGTTTTTACCTCTGCACAACCAAACACTATTTCCTCTTCTGACTCAACTACACCAAGAGGAAGCTCAACACAAGCGTTTGTGAATTTTATCAAGGAAAATAATCCAAAGTCTCAAAGGTGGGGAGTTCCAGAGCATCACTGCAGTCGCTTCCTGTGCACTGTGTCATGGATGGAGCTCTTAAACTTGTTTTTTTCAAAGTTTAAGCCACAGTCGTGTTGAATCCACATTAGATACACTAACCAGCACTGCAATGAATTCCAAATATTTTGCGTAGAAGTGCTCAGCAAGCCTGGAACCACACTAAGGACTGCATATAAATTTAATCATCCAAGCAAATTAAAACCCTGGGAATTCTTGCTTACTAAGGGTAGAAAACAGAATCTAGCCTCAGCCTCAAAGGGCTACTATCAACATCTGGCCCTCTCTGAAGTTTAGCTCTAAAACATACTTTAAATATCAGAGACAAGAACGCTGACTAATGAAGAAAAAGTTGGCAAAGGTTACATTTCTCCATATCAGCAGAAAGAAATCTGGATCACTACAGCTAAAAGCTCTTCCCTTGGTATGTCAGGTCTAGCTAATGGTTGCAGCCAGAAAGCTGGCACTTCCCTCACTACAAGTATTATTTGGAAGTATTTTTATTTTTTCCTCTTGAGTTAACCAGTTACAAAGAACAGCATGCAGATTTGACAAGCTGTTATAGATGTGTAGGTTTTTCCAGTCCAGAGCTCAAAGCACTGGATAATAAACCTATTTTGTGCACGTAGGGATACAACACCCTTCCCCTCAGGTTGGTCTCTGGAAACAGGGAAAGTTTAGTCACAGTTAGATACACAAAATTGAACAGTGGGGAAATGATGTTGAAGAACTAAAAGATTTTCTTTTTCCCCACCTAAGACCAAGCAGGATGGGTCCTGGCTGGTTTCCTGCAGGTGTGACACAGATGTGTTTCTGACCATGGTCTCCAAACACTTTAACAGGATCAGAGGTTTTCTGGGAGCTTTTCTCATTTGAAACCCACAAATGCTTTGCAAGAGGGAGCTCGGGCAGAGAGGGGAATAACAGAGCTTCCAGCTCCCACACCAGCCACCTACCCAGTGCCATCCTTTTTGTTACAGCCCCCAGGGAGGGTGTAGGAAGGGAGAGTTGTCATCCGCTCTGTTGGACTTGCTTATGATTTCAGGCAAGTCCAGCCTCCCCATGCCTCGGGTCCCCAGCTGTAAGATCTCTCCCCACATGCAGTCTCACTGCCTCCAGCTGCAGTACTGCACATGTTAACAACTTTATATCTAGGAAAGCACAAGGGATCGAGCAGATGTCAACTAGAGAGGTTGTTTAAAGCAGAGATGACCATGCATAGCGGGATGAAAGGTATGTGCAAACAAATGTTTCCAGCATCGGAGCTTTGTACCCTCCTTTAGGGGGTACAAACCTTTGCCTCAGCCCTCCTGATGCTCATTCACACATTTCAGAACACCACTAGCCAGCTGAAGCAGATCTGAAACCAGCCTTGGCTGAATTTCACAGCAAAAGGTACTAAGCTTTCATCTTCCCATTTTATAAGAGCCAACTCCTCACTTGCTAACCTTTACACTCCTGACAGTAACTCTGCATGTTCAGGTTGAAGAAAAGACTAAAATCCTGACTATAAAAACATGCTTCACTCTTGCTCTGTAGATCAGACAGTATAAATTTGGCTGAAACACAAAACTAAAGTTTAAGCATGTTCTCAAGTCTGCTTTAGGCCACAGCTGTCCAAGATTAATGATGATCCTTCAGAAACAGAAGCTACAAAAGCTGATATTTCAGACCTGTTCCAACAGCTCAGTCTTTCCAACTCACACATTAACAGAGAAGATCCAACCGTGGTTTACAGGTTCCAGGGCAGAG